GGCGAATTCCCCCCCCCCCCGGAGAGGCAGACGGAGCCTCATCAGGCGATCGTTGATGCCCTGCGGCAGATTGGGCAGACGTCTTACGATGTCGTTCCGGAAAGCTAAGGCGACACTCGCGTCTCGTCTCTCTGCCCTGGGTCGACCACTCCAGTAAAAGGTGTAACCGGCTCCCACCTCCTCCAGTTGGCCTTGTTCGGAGAAACGGGTCTCGCTGAGTGCGGCGATGTCCACCTTGTAGCGCGCTAGTTCTCGTGCCACTTACGCTGTCCTCCGTTCCGATCGGTTGCTCCGCGGATTGTCTAAAAGGTAACGAACATTCCAGGCTGCCAGAGTGAGCGGACTCACCCTGCCAGTCTGGTGACAACGAGTGGGGCGACGGGAGAGAGATGGAGAAGAAAGTGACAAAGGAGAAGAATAAGCAGAGGAAGAGGAAGAAGAGGTAGGATGAGGAAAATGATTATGCTTGTTGTTGTTATTGGTATTGTTGTTGTTTCGATTTTGATTGTTTCGACCAGGATTAGATGTCTGCGGCCCCGACTAGCCTGGAGACGGCGTGGTATCCAGCAATGTTTAGGCTGCCTTTTCTAGGCCCTTCCCCTCGTGGAGGCTGGCAGTGCCATCCCTGAATAGGGCTGCCATGTGCCGTTGTGGCACGGCCGAACTCCACTATGGGACCACGACTTCGGGTTGTAGTGGAGAGCGACTCGAAATCGCCGTAATCCACGGTCTCCGACGGCGTAGGTGGGCGCGGCAAGGCGATGTCGATATGGAGATCCATCCCGTCACCAGCTGTCCAGCGGCGTGCGGAGACGACGCAAGGTACCATCCAACCTTCCATCCGGCGGAATGCGCAACCCATGTGCACACGGCACAGCGCACAGGGCCCCCTCGCCTGGTTTAGCCCGCCGGGCGAGACGGTTGCTCGGGGTGTGGCCGCTGAGCAGAGCCCAGGTACTTGGAGCCACAGGTGAGAGTTGGATGCTAGCAAATGGAAGCTAGGCGTAGTCTCACTTGCAAGCAAGTGAGCAGCCGCTACGACCACGTGAACCCACCACTGACACCCCCTACACTCTACATAGTCTGTGCTAGCATATATCGCTCAGACATTTGATTTTACTCAGCATTGCTCATTTTCCGCGCTGCTATCAAACATGCAACTGCAAATAAACCAGTGCTCCTATAATAATTTATGCTCGTATAAAATTTTAAATACTTTAAATTACGTCTCTTCACAAGGAGGGATTCAGTCACGCAGATACCGTATGTGAACATATCGGTATTTGACTATCTGTGCATACTAAACGCGCACAAACCTTGCGTATGCTATTTGTTTTCCTTATTTCTCTTATGTCCCGATCCTTTTTAAGCAGGAATTAATGCATTCAGGTAGTCCGCAAACTCGCTTAAGAACAATATGTCCCACCATAATTTATCTGTCTAGGATGTCAAGAAGTCATTATCTTTACGGTAATACGGCCACTGATTTGCCTCCTGCAGTTCACTGAAATAACAACGAACACCTGCATTATCTTTGGCACGACCGTGAACCTGCATTGGGACTGCCATGCAAACAGTGCAGACACTGACAGCAGAACTGTCGATTTCAAAGGCACGCTTTGTCATTGCTGTGTGACCTTACCGAGGGACACAGAACAGTCCTACGGCTTACTGGCCCTAAGATTCCTAATTGGCCTCACCCAGACTGGTGTTGTTGACAGTAACACGTGCCGGTCACAGCGTGAGACGGCGTGGGACTCAACTTATCGCGAATACCACCCTCTGCACTCATTTCTCTCCCCCCCTTCATGGCGTGACTACAAAAACCGCTCATTTGATGTTGCCTTCTCACAGTCTCTGACGATGGCCTCCTGGACGAGACCGAAAACTCAGACTAACAAACCTACTGTCCCAGAGATCGGGTCTGCATCTTCTTTATAAAATAAATTTCTCTAAATTGGAGAGAAATATAACACTTACCTTATTTATTTCCTAAAAATGCTTACGGTAATGATTTTGAGCACCGATACAGAGATAACTAGACACAAATGTATAGGAGTATGTAGTTCCAATCCGACGTCCAAACCAAGTAACCGTTGACATCTGCATTTCGTAAAGTATGCGTTAGAACTGGCTTAGCGACGCCTGAACATGTGCAAAACGGAAACAACGCACATTCTGCGGGCTGCATTACGCACCTAGCATTTACATTCCAATACTCTGATTGTAGTTTGCATAAGAACTTCTTCATCTACACACGCCTACAGCGGGCTTCACTGTCTTTCTGCCGCCTAATCGGACTGATGACGTGTGTCTGACTGTGTTGGACGATTATTTACACTGCATTATTAGTCGTCACCTAACTGGAGGCTGGTTTATGCTCATACGATATTATTTTGTCTAGTGATGCGTCTGTTTTCCACCAGGTGGATTCGTTGTCGGTCAGCGACTGGTTTATTTCCTTCCGTCTATTGCGCTCACTCTGATGCGGCTTTTGTGTAGGCAATGAAGCAGGCGTTATAAGCCAGTAGGAAATCAATATAGCCGTTGATGAAACTTGCAACATAAACTCATGTATCAAACGTGAATGCCTCTGACGTTGATCTGCATTGCTCACCACAGTAGTTTTTAAAGTTAGGCAGTAGAAATGGACCACTGTTAACAAAAAGACGGTATTTCAATTACCTGCCATGAGACGATTATCATCCACGAGAATCACTGAATTTAAAATACTCCAGTCTTCGTATCTGTGGCTAATTTGACTAGTCAATTTGCTGGAGGATTTAAAAATAATCATCAGAAATCCATGATTTTAAACAGCAGTCATTATATCACATGGTAGAAATTCCAGTGGGTCAAACTTAACGCAGCAGATGTTAGACCGATGAAATACCTTCATCGGGGCGTATTTCACCAGTGTTTGATCACCCGGCAATTGCTCGACGTAGAGCACGTGTGTTCTTATAAGGATAGGCACGCGAGGATCTGTTGATTTCCGAAACCCAAACGCTGTGAACAATACGGCAGCAGTCATTAAAAGGCGACCAAATGCTATACATCCTTTCGTACAAATAGCCATTAAACGTAGCATAAACCAGAAGGAGCTGCCCTCCGTTTGACAGGAATGTGCTCTGTAAACTGACAGATTCTAATGTGTCAAACAAAGGTTAAACGTATCACATCATCATATAAAATCGATACCCACACCAAATTAAATAGCGTTGTTTATCAGTAGTGACATTCGATAGCACCGCCCAGCAATAGCTCGCCAATACTTGCTATCTGTCAGTAATATGCTGACGGCCCTGGATCATCGCACGATTCCCATTTATTAACGCTGCAAAGACGTCAAATAATGGAAACTGTTATTTGAATGCAACACTTCGGAATTCATTTTCTTCCGACATAGTCTACTCGAATAGTCATCCTCAATCTAACCTACAGGGATTGCGGTGTCCACGCATAAACGCGATAGAATAGCAAACGCGTGCACCTTTGAAAGCGTCATTTGCAAACGTGATTTATATTATAAATTTCCGTTGGAAAACGAGTTACGTGTTAAATAATTCATGTGTGTGATATCAAAAGGCAAGCCAGGACATCTCTCTGTGCTATAGTCAGGGCACCTTCGTTTTGTGAGCTGTGTAATTGAACTTTTCGTATATAGTAATTCACCATAAATGGTTCACAGATCAATAGGTGATAGCATTCCGACAGGCAATATCTAATCGAGAAGAAGCTATTATGCGGATTTTGAAAACGAGTGATATCAGTTGCTTCTTCAACCAAGTTTGGAAATCTTCTTGACCTGCATCCAGCTTCTTTCGCTGCGTTTAGGATATTTTCCCTCACTTTACTCCCTCTGCTTCTGCTAGTGAACTCTCAATTTGTCCAGTCTCTCATAGTAAGCACAGTTTTTTCATGAACTCCAAATTAAGTTTTATAGTTCTATCTATACAAGGAACACATTTGTCAAATTCTGAGATAGGCGCATAAAAAGTGTGCTGCTAATTATATGTAATCCGTTGAACAAAGAGTTAGCACTTGTTCACTGGAAAATACACGCTTCGGTAAGCGTACAACTTCACTTACGGAAGGACGTCAAAACTGAGACATGTTTAGCTCTGCACAATTCTTGCACGCGAATAAGTAGAAAATAATCAAGTGACAACACCGGTAGACAAGATAATACTTTATTGCACGAAAATAAATAAAATATTGCAGTCATAAAATTAGGACTTTCATGATATATTGCAAACAAAAGGACATCTTCTGTGCTGACAGTTCGACCATCGATTTCGATGATGTCCACCGTGTGCCCCACAGCAGGTTGGAACAGGGACGGTGACTTGCGCAGGGGTTTATAGTGCCAGTAGACTTGCACTGCATTTACCTACACTCTCTCCTCCTTTCCAGCAAGCCCGGTGTCAAGACAGAGTGAAGAAGACCGGAGACGAGGGAGGCCGCAGGTGGATGGCTTGGACGGATCCTCACCTTGGCGTTCCACCACACCCCCTGGTCCACACAACAATAACCAGGATTTCAACCAACAACAGAGATTTGGAGGCTGGCACGGCCGAAGCCGCACCTAGGCGTGCCGCCAACGCCTGGCTCGGATCGCACGCTGTGGTGGGAATGTCATAAAGGCCACATTAAAAAGAAGCCATTGCAGCCTGACTCTCAGACCGCCTCCCGTTAAGGAGGAGGACCAAGTTACCCCGTCAGTTGGCAACCTTCCAAGCCACGGCTTTTAGCACACCGTGATAGCTTCAAGCGCGTCAGATTGATTATAGTGAGGAAAGTGCGCTGAGTCGTCGACCTCACTCTCCCTTCCCTTTCCCACACCCCAGCCGCTGTCTGAGCCGGTCAGCAGACTAGAGTGGGGAACGGGCACCGTGGCTGCCACGGTCCACTGACCGTGACTGTGCGCGCCCCAGCACGACCTGGCCCCCCATACACACACAAAAACCAGAATTTCACACAACGGGGGTTGAACGGCGTGTCTCTCACTTGCGTGAGAGGGCCGTGGAAGGTGCTGCTTCAGCCCGTTCCCAGCCCACCAGTCCGCCACTCCACACAGCACACACACACACACAACGCGACGAACTGCGTGAACCGAGAGCGGGCGTAAATCAGCAACCTTCCCATTCACGACACTTGACGTGTCGGGATAGTCTCGGACTCAAATCACCCGTGCAGCCGAAGCCGCGTGGGGACCGAGTCGAGATGCACACTTCCCACTTGCGTGGAAGGTGGCAGTTGGTGCATGCGGTGGGCGAGTGTTGCTGTGCGTTGGTGATGGTGAAGGAGGGTAGGGAGTGTGTGGATGTGTGGTGTAACTGGTGGTTGTCTACCGCAGGTCGTCGTGGATGCGCATGTGGCCGAATAGGCCCATTCGGTGCCTGAAAGGGCGAGGACAGTGTGGGCAGTTGAGACGAGCTTGGTGGGTGTAGGTTGGTGCTCCAGGCACTGGTTCTCTGGTCTCTGTGCGATGGATTCGCAAGTGACCGACCAGGCCGATGCGTGAGGTGAATGTGCGTGGACAGTGTGGTCATGTGAAGTCGGTGGTTTTAGAATCAGCTACAAAGGTGTTGGTGGTGGCGCAGATGGACGGTGCGAGGGTGGTGCTGGTCGTCATGGGCGTGGTTGGCTTTTCGGAATTGTGGTCAATTCCACTCTCCTGGATGCGCATGTGGCCGAATAGACCCATGCGATGCGTGAAGGTGCGAGGGCAGTGTGCGTAGTGGAGGCGAGTGCGGTGGATGTAGGTTGGCGCTCCGTGCACTGGTTTGCCGGTCTATGTGCGCTGAATACGCAAGTGACCGAGCAGGCCGATACGTGACGTGAAGGTGCGATCGCAGTGGGGGCAGGTGTAGTCCTGATTCTCATTGCTGGAGTCGGGAGAGGCGGGAGTGGTGCCGGTTGTTGTGTCGCGGTTGATGATGTGCGCTACGACTGCCTGAGCGGCCGCCGTTGGGGCAGTGGTGGTGGAAGAGGAGGAGGAGGAGGAGGAGGAGGAGGAGGAGGAGGAGGAGGAAGAGGAGGAGGAGGAGGAAGAAGAAGAGGAGGAGGAGGAGAAGGAGGAGGAAGAGGAGGAAGAGAGGAGGAGTATGGAAGTGGTGGTGCAGAAGAATTGTCAGAGTTAGTTGGCGGCAGAGAGGACGAGGATGAGGCGGGCGGGGGGATGACGTTTGGTGCAGTTTGAGAGTAACAGTTGATCCGAAGATGTCCAACAAGGCCGATTCGAACCCGGAATGTCCACTGACATCGAGGACACGTCGGAAGCGGTTGTGCTGCGGCGTTGCTGACCGGGTGCAGTTGGGATTTGCGGGCTTCGCGTTTCGCCTTGGCGGCGGCGATGCGGTTGGTTTCGTGGATAGCAGCGCCCGTCTTCACTGTTCTCCTCCACGTCGGACGATCGCGGGCGAGCTCTTCTCAGTTGGTTGGGTTGATTTGCAGTAGCTTCAGGGAGGACTTCATGGTATCCTGGTATCGACGAATTGGGCCGCCTTGACGACGAGAACCCGTCGCGACGTCTCCGCAGAAGAGCCGTTTGGGTAGTCGCTCGTCGTCTATGCGCACCAGGTGGCCGCTCCAGCGCAGCTGCATTTGTCTCAACATGGAGTAGATGCTGAGCATTCCCGTTCGTTCCAGCACATCAGTGTCGGGGATGCGATCCTGCCAGTTCAGGCTCAGGATGCGACGAAGACAGCTCAGGTGGAAGTGGTTCAGACGGCGTGCCTGCCTCGTGTACACCGTCCACGTCTCTGCTCCGTACAGTAGCGTCGGCAGGATGACGGCCTTGTACATATTCAGCTTCGTGTTCAGTTGAAGACCGTGACGATTCCAAACTGTGTTTTGGAGACGATCGAAGGCGTGGCTGGCTTTCGAGATCCTGTTGGCGACTTCGTCATCAATCTTGGTGTTGCGGGAGAGAGTACTGCCCAGGTACGGGAAGATCTCTACCACTTGAGGTTGGGTCGCATTCACGCTGATCTGCGGCGGCGCGTTGGGGGCTGTGGCTGAGTTGGGTGGCGGTTGGTGCATCACCACCGTCTTCTGCGTGTTAATGACCAGACCGAAGTTCTCGCAGGCATCGGAGAACAGGTCCATGCTCCGTTGCATCTCCTCTTCCGAGGTGGTGTTCAGGGCCCAGTCGTCGGCGAAGAGGAGTTCGTGAACGGTGGTTGTGGATACGCGCGATTGGAAGTGCATCCGCCGTTGATTCAGGAGATGACCGTCCGTCCTGTAGGCGATGCGGATCCCGGGGCGTTCGTCGCGGTATGCGTCCATCGGCATGGAAGAGAACATCAGACTGAAGAGGGTAGGCGCCAACACGCATCCCTGCTTCACTCCGTTAGTCCCTGTGAATGCCTCTGAGACAGCTCCATTGTCCGTGACTCGCGCCATCATACCGTCGTGCAGCTGACGCTCCATCTTAGTGAGTCGCTCCGGACAGCCGAATTTCTGCATGATCTTCCACAGTCCTTCACGATTCACCGTATCGAAGGCTTTCGTCAGGTCAACGAAGGTAGAGTACAGGCGGGTCCGCATCTCCTGACACTTCTCCTGAAGTTGACGGGCGGCGAAGATCATATCAGTGGTCCCACGATGACGACGGAAGCCCCATTGGCTTTCCGGCAGTAGACCCTGTTCGAGATGGTTATTGCGGCGGTTGAGAAGGATGCGAGCGAAGATCTTCCCGGCGATGTTCAGCAGGGAGATGCCGCGTGATTGTCGCCGATTTGGCGATTCCCTTTTCGCTTGTAAAGGTGCACGATTGTTACGTCTTTGAAGTCTTGCGGGACTTCGCCTTAACGCCACATCTCCTGGAAGAGCGCAGTCAGGTGATCCATGACTTGGGGACCTCCGTGCTTGTAGACCTCAGAAGGATCGCGTCTGATCCTGGTGCTTTCCCTCTAGAGAGCTGCTGCACGACCCTGTTGGTTTCCTGGAGAGATGGCGGGAGGTCTAGGTCCGCGTTTGTCTCCACTTGCGGCACACGCGCGATGGCGGCGTCGGAGATGGCGGAAGGGCGGTTGAGGATGCCTCGAAAATGCTCGGCCCATCGCTGCAGGATTAGCGTCTTCTCAGTCAGGAGAGTACTGCCGTCGGCGCTGAGGAGAGGAGCAGCGCCCTTTGTCGGCGGACCGTAGATAGCTTTGATTGCAGAGAGGAAGTTCTTCTATTCGTTTCGGTCCGCGTAGCCTTGGATCTCCTCAGCTTTCCGAGCAGTCCAGGTGTCCTGCATCTCGCGCAGTCGCTGCTGAAGTTGGCGGCGACTGCGGTAGAAAGCAGCTTTGTTGTCATCAGTGGGGTGATCTACGTAGGCTTTGCGTAGGCGGTTCTTAATAGCAAGCAGTTTTCTGATGGCGGCGTCGTTGTCGTCGAACCAGTCCTAGTGTTGACGGGGAGTGCGACCAAGGATGGCGAGCGCCGTCGACTGGACCGTGTCTCGCAGTTGACACCAGCGTTTTTTTACGGAGGCGTTCTCGGCAGCGGCGGCCTCGGTGATGGGGAAGTTGTCTAGTCGTTGAGCTAGTTTATTGCTGAAATGGAGAAGGTGAGCGGTCAAAAACAATAAGACAACATTCAGCTTACCTGGGGTCGCTTACCTTGAGGTCTCCTGCGAGGCTGTAGGCGAATACGCATCTTCGAGATGACGAGGCGATGGTCGGTCCGCCCGTCAGCACCCGCGATCGCCTTCGACACCAGCACGCCCCGCTGGTCACGCCTTCGGACGAGGACATAGTCCAGCAGGTGCCACTTACACGATCGAGGATGCCTCCAAGTGGCCTTCTCTCGCTCCAGCAGACAGAAAAACGTGTTCGTCAAGATGTGGCGGTGTTCTGCGCAGGTGCGGAGCAGCAGCAGACCATTGTTGTTTGAGCCGCGAAGACCGTGGGGGCCCAGCACTCCTCTCCAGGCAGTATGGTCTGTTCCGACGCGGGCGTTGAAGTCGCCAAGGACAATCAACTTGTCCGCCTTCGGCACAGTCGCCAAGATGGCGTGCAGGTCCTCGTAGAATT